AACTGGAATATGGAACTTCAACGATAACAGTTTCGGTGCCATCAGATCCAGTTACGGTAGTGGTGGAACTATATGACTCAGTCCAGCTTGATGTAGTTGTAGTGGCTGGAGTTGGAACCTCAATAATAACAGTTTCAGAACCATCAGAACCAGTTGCGGTGGTGGTAGAAGTGTATAATTCAGTCCAGGTTCTGGTTGTTGTAGTAACTGGAGTTGGGACTACGATGATCACAGTTTCAGTACCATCAGAGCCAGTAGCAGTGGTGGTTGTAGTAAACGATCCAGTCCATGTCGATGTGGTTGATGTGACTGGAGTTGGGACTACGATGATCACAGTTTCAGTACCATCAGAGCCAGTAGCAGTGGTGGTTGTAGTAAACGATCCAGTCCATGTTGATGTGGTTGATGTGACTGGAGTTGGGACTACGATGATCACAGTTTCAGTACCATCAGAGCCAGTAGCAGTGGTGGTTGTAGTAAACGATCCAGTCCATGTTGATGTGGTTGATGTCACTGGAGTTGGCACTTCGATGATCACAGTTTCAGTACCGTCAGATCCGGTTGCAGTAGTGGTAGAAGTGTACGTTTCTGACCAGGTAGATGTGGTTGATGTCATTGGAGTTGGAACTTCAATGATGACTGTTTCAGTACCATCAGATCCGGTTGCAGTAGTGGTAGAAGTGTAAGTCTCACTCCAGGTAGATGTGGTTGATGTAACTGGAGTTGGAACTTCAATGATGACAGTTTCAGTACCATCAGAGCCAGTGGCAGTGGTGGTTGTAGTAAACAATCCAGTCCATGTTGATGTGGTTGATGTAACTGGTGTTGGGACTTCGATTATCACGGTCTCAGTACCATCAGAGCCAGTTGCGGTGGTGGTAGAGGTGTATAATTCAGTCCAGGTACTGGTTGTTGTAGTAATTGGAGTTGGGACTTCGACAATCACAGTTTCAGTACCGTCAGAACCAGTTTTAGTCGTGGAAGAAGTGTAGGTTTCTGACCAGGTTGTAGTAGTCACAGTAACTCCGGTTGGAACCTCAATAAGAACAGTTTCAGTACCATCAGATCCAGTAACTGTAGTAGTAGAAATATACGACTCAGACCACGTAGTAGTAGTAGTAGTTGCTGGAGTAGGCACTTCGATGATCACAGTTTCAGTGCCATCAGAGCCAGTTGCAGTGGTAGTTGTAGTAAACGATCCTGTCCAGGTACTGGTTGTTGTAGTAACTGGAGTTGGTACTACGATGATCACAGTCTCGGTACCGTCAGAGCCAGTAGCAGTGGTGGTTGTAGTAAACGATCCAGTCCATGTTGATGTGGTTGATGTGACAGGAGTTGGAACTTCAATGATCACGGTCTCAGTACCATCAGAGCCAGTGGCAGTGGTGGTATAAGTAAACGATCCAGTCCATGTCGATGTGGTTGATGTGACTGGAGTTGGGACTACGATGATCACAGTTTCAGTACCATCAGAGCCAGTAGCAGTGGTAGTTGTAGTAAACGATCCAGTCCATGTTGATGTGGTTGATGTAACTGGAGTTGGAACTTCAATGATAACGGTCTCAGTACCATCAGAGCCAGTGGCAGTGGTGGTAGAGGTGTAAGTCTCACTCCAGGTAGATGTGGTTGATGTAACTGGAGTTGGAACTTCAATGATCACGGTCTCAGTACCATCAGATCCGGTCGCAGTAGTGGTAGAGGTGTAAATCTCACTCCAGGTAGATGTGGTTGATGTAACTGGAGTTGGAACTTCAATGATCACGGTCTCAGTACCATCAGAGCCAGTGGCAGTGGTGGTATAAGTAAACGATCCAGTCCATGTCGACGTGGTTGATGTGACTGGAGTTGGCACTTCGATGATCACGGTCTCAGTACCGTCAGATCCGGTCGCAGTAGTGGTAGAGGTGTAAGTCTCACTCCAGGTAGATGTGGATGATGTAACTGGAGTTGGAACTTCGATGATCACGGTCTCAGTACCGTCAGATCCGGTTGCAGTAGTGGTAGAAGTATACGTTTCTGACCAGGTAGATGTGGTTGATGTCATTGGAGTTGGAACTTCAATGATCACGGTCTCAGTACCATCAGATCCGGTCGCAGTGGTGGTAGAGGTGTAAATCTCACTCCAGGTAGATGTGGTTGATGTAACTGGAGTTGGAACTTCAATGATCACGGTCTCAGTACCATCAGATCCGGTCGCAGTAGTGGTAGAGGTGTAAATCTCACTCCAGGTAGATGTGGTTGATGTAACTGGAGTTGGAACTTCAATGATCACGGTCTCAGTACCATCAGAGCCAGTGGCAGTGGTGGTATAAGTAAACGATCCAGTCCATGTCGACGTGGTTGATGTGACTGGAGTTGGAACTTCAATGATCACGGTCTCAGTACCATCAGATCCGGTTGCAGTAGTGGTAGAGGTGTAAGTCTCACTCCAGGTAGATGTGGATGATGTAACTGGAGTTGGAACTTCGATGATCACGGTCTCAGTACCGTCAGATCCGGTCGCAGTAGTGGTAGAAGTATACGTTTCTGACCAGGTAGATGTGGTTGATGTCATTGGAGTTGGAACTTCAATGATCACGGTCTCAGTACCATCAGAGCCAGTAGCAGTGGTGGTAGAAGTATACGTCTCTGACCAGGTAGATGTGGTTGATGTAACTGGAGTTGGAACTTCAATGATCACGGTCTCAGTACCATCAGAGCCAGTGGCAGTGGTGGTAGAAGTATACGTTTCTGACCAGGTAGATGTGGTTGATGTAACTGGAGTTGGAACTTCAATGATCACGGTCTCAGTACCTTCAGAGCCAGTGGCAG